AATATACCCTAAAGAGACCACAACTGATGTCCAAGCAGATATATGCACACCCATGTTTATCCTGGCTTTGTTCACAATGGCAAGGAGTTGGAAGCAACCTAAGTGCCTATCAACAAATGAATGGATAGAGAAGCTGTGGTATATTCACACAATGGAATACTACGCTGCATTGAAAAACAAGGAACTCTCATGCATTATTATTCAAAATGGATGACCCTGGAGGACATTATGCTGAGTGAAGTATCTCAGTCACAAAAGGACAAATACTGCATGGTGCCACTGTTGTAAGATAGGACTGACCTTGGGGTTGGGGAGAGACTGAGAAAGACGGGTTCAATAATGTATAATGGATTGAAACAGGTGAGGGAGAAAACAGTTTAAAAGGGATATGTGATTAGGTATTTCTGTCATGACAGGAGTCTAGAGTGAAGGCTACATGGTGGAGTGGACTGGGGGAGGGTTTGTAAAACAATGAAAGAATTTTTCTTTTACTTTTCCAAGAGGGTAGTGTACTAGGGGGGAAGGTTGGGAAGGGAAAAAAGTTCAATAATGAATGAATGGAAATCCCCCCTCTCACCCCCAAAAAAAGACCTATATAGAAGATTCCTAAGAGCAGCTTGAGACAACGAAATGTGCAAAGAACTGGAGTTGAGGGAAGAGCATGCTCTTCATTTCTCAAGTTGAAAGAACTGAAAAAGTCAGGCCTCGAGTTGCAATAGTGAAGGATTCTTTGGGCAAAATCTTAAATGATACAGGGTCAAATGGTATCTCTATTTGTAACTTTTTGAGAAAGTGCTGTACTGCCTTCTACAGAATATAGATCTTTTACATTATTATTTCTTCCCTTTGTTTTGGCTTCTCTGCAGTATAGTGGAATTGTCAGAGTTTCTGTACCATCCACTTTGGTCTTTTTTTCTCCTGTCTTTTAATGCTTTCTTCATGGATGATGGACCATATAAGGGGGGAAAAATACATATTTAAAAAGATACACACACACAAGTCTCCAGGTGTGGCCACCACATATAGTGGATTTTTATAACAAAATGAAAGTGAATTTAGCTCCAGAAAAATAAAAAAGTAGATGGAAGGAATACACAGAGTCTCTGTACCTAAAAAAAATTGGTAAACACTGAAACATTTCAGCAAGTAGCATATAATCGAGAACCAATAGTATTGAGGAAGAAGTCCAAGCTGAACTGAAGGCATTGGTGGAAAAGAAGGCTTCAGAAATTGACATGTTTCAACAAACAGATGCAGCTCTGTATGTATTTGCTAATTTGTGCCAAAAATCTTAGAAGACAGCTACCTGTCTAACAGACAGGAAATGATCTACAATTGTTCCAATTCACAAAAAAAGATGATCCAACAAAATGTGGAAATTATCGAACCATATCATTAATATTACATGCAAGTAAAATATTGGGCAGATTATTTTAAAATGACTGAAACCATCGAATGAAGATAACCAGAAATTCAAGCTTAATTCAGAAGAGGCTGTGGAACAAGTGATATCATTACTTTTGTCAGATGGACCTTGACTGAAAACAGAGAATACTCAAAAGATAGTTATGTGTTTTTAATTGATTTGCAAAGACATTTGAATATTTGGATTATAACAAATTATGGGATAGCACTGAGAATAATGAGACTCCTGAACATTTAATAATGCTCATGCAAAACCTATTCCTAGACCAAGAAGCTGCTGTATGATAGAACACGTGTGGTTTAAAATCAGGAAAGGTGTGTGTCACTGTTGTATTCTTTCTCAATACCTGTTCAGTACACATGCTGAACAAATCATTTGAGAAGCTGGGTTATTATGAACAGTGTGACATCAAGACTGGAAGAATATTCACCAACAGCCTGCGTTATGCAGATAACGTAACTTTGCAGAAAGTGAAGAAGACTTAAAGCACTTGCTACAGAACAGAAGAAACTTTTAACATGGATTACATCTCAACATCAAGAAAACAAAAGGCCTTAGTACAGGACCAATAGGCAGCACTGTGATAGTGGAGAAAAGATTGAAGTTGTCAGTAATTTTTTATTTAATTGGAACCCCAGTCAACACTCATGGTAACAGCAGTTAAGGAATCAAAAGACATGTTTCACTGTGAAAATCTTTTGTCACAGGCCTCTCTATAAAGTTTTACAGAGTAACAATATCAGTTTAAAGACTAAGGTGCTTACATTTACTTCTTTGCATCTGAAAATTGGACAGTGAATTAGGATGACAGATTTGCTGCCTTTAAATTATTCTGTTGGAGATTCTATTGTTTGCCAAAAGAACAAACAAATTTAATGTGAATGAAGTCTAATGAGAATGCTCCTTAGAGGCAAGGATGGTCTCACATATTTGGGGCATATTGGCAAGTGGGACAGTCCTTGGAAAAGAACATTATGCTGGGAAAGGTGGAAGGTCAGAGAAAGAGGAAGAACACCAACAGGATGGATCTCGGATTGGAGCATATCAGATAATGAGAATGGTCTGGGATAGGGCAAGGTTCAGATCTGTTGTTGATAAGGTTATTTTTTTTTTTATACTACTGGTTTATTTATAAAATTTGAATACATTGTTTTTGAGAACATAGTCTTCAGTTTTTCTCACCCTCCCCCCTATCAAATGATACAGCTCCCTTCCTCCTCCTGCACATCCTCATCTCTGCTTCCATCTCCCCCCCCCCCATCCTTATACTCATTCTACAATAATGGTTTTATTCAGTATTTGTCCTTGTGGGACTAAGTTCACTCAGTATAATGCTCTCCAGTCCCTCCCAAGTTAGGTAATAATTTACCAAATCATTGTTCCTGCATACTGCATAGTATTCTATTGTGTGAATGTTAATTTCTCAATCCATTTGTTTGTAATTGGACATTTGGGCTGTTTTCTATGTTCTTGAGATGGTGAATAATGCTGCTATGAACACTGGTGTACAAATCTCCATTTGTGCTTCAGATCTCATTTTTTCAGAGTATATTCCAAGTAGTAGAATAGCTGGGTCATATGGAATTTCTATGTTCTGCTTTTTGAGGAAGTGCCAAACTGCCTTCCAGATTGGTTGTACCATTTCACAATCCCACCAACAATGTGAGTTCCTTTCTCACCACGTCCTCTCCAGCATTTATTACTTGCTTCCCTGTTAAACTTTGCCACTGTTACTGGAATGAGATGGTACTTCATTGTGGTTTTTATTTGCATCTCTTTTGTTGCCAGTGATTTGGAGCATTTCTTCATGTGTGCTTGCCATTCAGATTATTTTCCTCTGAAAATTCTATGTCTTGTGCCCATTTAATAATGGGTAATCGGTCCTTTTTTGTGTGGAGGCCTAGGAGTATTCTGTAAACTTTTAAGACTTTTTTGTCTGAGATGGTATTACCAAATGTTTTTTCCCAGTCTGTAGGTTTTCTTTTGACCCTGTTGGAAAAAGGTTTTGATGCACACATGGATTTAACCTTAAGAAGGTCCCATTCATCAATTTTATCCCCTTCAGATTGTGCATTTCTGGCTGTATTTGGCAGTTTCTTTATACCTTGGACTGCCAGATGTCTGATCCACCTTGAATTGATTTTTGTGTATGGTGTGAGATGTGGATTCTGTTTCCGCTTTCTGCAAGTAGCAGTCCAGTTTTACCAGAACCATTTGTTCAAGAGGTTGTCATTTCCCCATTTGATAGCTTTGATTTCCTTGTGGAATATCAGATGACCATAGATAGCCCCATTTACAGTAGTCAACAAGAAATTGAGATACTTGGGAGTGAACCTAACTAGAGATAAAAAAGACCTATATAAAGAAAACTAAAGAGCATTTCTACAAGACACAAAAATCCTAAAGAAATGGAAAAATGTGCCCTGTTCATGGATAGGAAGACTCAGTGTTGTGAAAAATAACAATTTAACAAAAGCAATGTATATCTAGGACTAAAAATCGGCCTTTGATACGTACCAAGTTAAAAATTTTAAAACTACTCTTTGCCTTTCTCTTTGAAGTACATGGAGCTATGTTGTAGCCTAAAACAAGTAACTGTCTTAAATATAATTGGTGGCAGCAAATGTGATTCTGCTGTCATTTTTATGATGTTTGGCACTTTTAAAGTAGGCTGTGTGCTGTGACTTTGCATCTGCTGTGGTATACCAACATTTATTCCCTAACCCTTTACTTACATAATTTGGTTCATTGTTTCCTAAGTGTGTATAGAAGCTGCTTTTTATTTTATTTATGTTTTTACTTTAGTTTCTTTAGAAACGTTTGAGGTTTTTAAATTTATTTGTTATTGGTATGCTGCTATTGTTATGCCATTGAGTTGCTTACAGCTTACCGAGACCCTATGTACAACAGCTTCGAATCCTGCTCTATTCTGAGCTAACCTCATCATCTCCAACACACCACCCCCATTATCCCAGTCACTGAGTCAGTCCATCTATCTTACCCAGAGTCTTGTCCCTCCAACCTTCCAAGCATGACGCCCCTCTTGAAGGACTGGTCCCTCCTGGCAACATTGCCAACGTATGTCAGACAAAGCTTCAGCATCCTTCCTCCAAGAAGCAGCCTGATTTTACCGTCTCCAGGACGAACTTGTTCGTTCTTCTAGCAATCATACTCTTCTCCAACATACTGCTTCTTAAAATCCATTTTACTTTTCTATGAAAGGCTGCAGAAGGAATATATTACTGGTGAATATGAGTGGCAGTGTAGTAGTCTTAAGTGTCTTCTGCATGACATTGTTTTCTAACCCTTGTAGTAAACATGTTTCAGGTGGTGATCCAAAGTAAGAGATCCAGAAATCTACCACTTTAGGAGATCAAACTGTGGGGTTTTTTTATACACAGAGAGACAGACACAATTAAAAAACAACAACAACAACAAAACACACCAACAGAACTGTTTTAAAACTTACCTAATTGATCCCTCTATCACCCATACCAAGTTTTTACTTTGAAAGATGGATTTTTAAGGTAGAATTTTATAGATACCAATTTTTATTTGATTCTTTCTCTCACAGTTGGTGTATGAATTCTTCTTGAGGTTTTTGGAGAGTCCTGATTTCCAGCCTAGCATTGCAAAGAGATATATTGATCAGAAGTTTGTACAGCAGGTAAGGAATTTCTTTTTGTCACTTTAGTCTTTTAAAAACTTGTTTATTTCTGTTTGACAGCACTTATTAATATTCTTGCAAGTAAAATTAAAATTAAATAGTTTGGGGCAAACATCCAATGAAGTCAATCCAATGAAATCCTGAATCTGCAAAATTATCTTTTAAAGCAAGCCTTTCTGCAATACCAAAGAGAAAATTTAATATAATCCATTAAGTATAAAATTTTTAAAATGTCTTTGAACTTACATATGTTTGTTTTAAGCATTGTGATAATGAAATGATAAACCGGGGAGGGAGCAGAATTAGAAGCATTGTTGCAAGTTTGTAGTTCCTGTTATCAAATATCATTTACTTTTCCCTTCCCATCATAGGCAGTCTAGCTACCTTTTTCTAACCCACAGAGAAAATGGTATCTTTAAGAAGAAAAGGAAGAAGAATGAAACTTACATGATGCCTGCTAACTGTGTGGAATTGACTGGCCCTAGACAAAATTATGAAATAGGCCAAACTTTTGTAGATCTAATTTCTCTTGTTTGAGATAGGTATCAATGCACATATTACATTAGGGATTTAAAAGACCACTACCAGTCTAAAAAATGTCCTTCAGCCACTGAAGTAGCTCTTCATACTGAATAACTAGCTATATGCTAACAGAATAAAGAATATTTCAGTCATGAAGGAAAGTCAGATTAAATGGCATTCTATTTTGGAAACTGAAATGAGTACACAATTACTTCCTTTCATAGTTCTCAATGAAGTCTAGTATTGCAGTATTAAATATGTTCATGATAATAGGTTGAGAGGAAAAATTACCTAAATAGTCTCTTTCTCTAAAGAGGTTGGAGTATTGAAGATACTAGATTACATTCAGTAGGTTTGAAGGACACAAACAAAAATTAGGGTAGTAACCCATGTTCCATCTTCTACTCCAGATGCCTGATTATCTGAGAAGGCATGACTTAATTTGCATTTAGCCATTTGTATGACTATGCTTTTGTATCCATTCTCTGAGGTGTACAAAGTGTTGCTTTAGTAAATATACACTGTGTGGTAATTTTCAGTTTCTGCATCTTGAAATAAATTGTTTGGTAAGATTTTAAGACTTAGAAATACAGAAGACATTTAAAAAGTATATATTGGACCTTTATTATATATTAAAAAATAAAACAGTTGCAGAAAAATCAGAAACCAAATAGAGGGTGGCTGTAACTCAGCACTACTTTGAATGCAGAGGACTAGTGATTAGTTTTTAGGTACTAGATGCTGTTCTTAAATGCTTTTATGTATATCAAGAGGTGACCCTATCTGTGTGCACATAGCCAGCAGATTTAAATTAAGCCCACTGACTTAATAATAACTTTTCTCAAGAAGAAAATTCTTTTCTTCCTCAGAAGCACAATTAGACACTTATATAAGGAATAAGGTTTAAAAGTTCCTTGATTCTTTTTGATGTGTGTTTCATTGTATGATTATGCTATTTCAAAATAAAGTCTTTTGTTAAGATTGTTATTTTTTTTAGTATTCATTTTAATGAAAGGTTACAGAGACTTAGGGTTTCCATTCATTCATTGTTTCCCTTTTCTCCCCTCCCCCCTCAATTTGCTCTTTTCTTTGAAAAGTAAAAGAAAAACTCTTCGATTGTTATACAGTCTTTCCCACCAAGTCCATTCCACTGTGCAGCCTTCATTCTGGACTCCTGTCATGACAATTAATACCTAATCATATATCCCTTTTAAACCGTTCTCTCATCTGTTTCAGTGCAGT